AGATACATGTTCGGGGCGCCAAACGGCAATTCTAGCTGAGACGTCCCACCAAAATCGGCGCGAACGGGCTCGTGAGATCAGCCAGGGTGGCTCCCCCTTGGGGCTCCCAAATGATGCCCCTGGCAGCGTTTTGTGACCATGAGGCTCTCAAGAAATACATGTTGGGGGCGCCAAACGGCAATTCTAGCTGAGACGTCCCACCAAAATCGGCGCGAACGGGCTCGTGAGATCAGCCAGGGTGGCTCCCTCTTGGGGCTCCCAAATGATGCCCCTGGCAGCGTTTGTGATCATGAGAGAGTGCGAGTGTGAGCTTAACTTGTCTTATCTTATCTTGAAATCTCTTCTTATCATATCTTGTGCTATCTTATCTTATCTTGTAGTGTCTTATTTTGTCTTGTGTTATCTGGTGATTATCATTGGGAGGAGGGAGGCGCGAGCGGGAGGAAAAAGGAGGAGGAGGCGTGGGAGGCGTCAGAGTAATAACAAGAACCCCAATCCTTAGGATATGGGGAACAACAACAATTACTAGCACGTGGGGACACTCCGTTCTCACCAGTGCCAGGGTTTTCATAGGAGGCGGGCAATACCCCCACTTTGTGGGGGGGCCGGTTCAAGCTCTACCACATTTCCAAACGACTCTTCGCCACCACCCACACCCAGCTTCCCGCCCTATGACGTTCGGACACTTCACTTCGTGGCCTGCGGACGACCTTGGCTACTACACTGGCGCATGGGTACAGTGACTTGTTGTGGTAACATTTTCTGTAAGCTAGCTTAGTATACGACTTTTCCCCCTGTTCCAACACTGGACACCTGTACTGGTTTTTCGTGGTAACATGTTCCTGACGCTAGAATAGGAAACCACGGTAAACCAGTACGACGCCGGTACTGTCTGTAGGTCCTACAATGATATGGACTGCTTTGGCTGGTGAGGCGCTAGCGTCTGATACGACGTTTTTCCGTTTCTGTACCACACAAGCGAAGACACTTATTTTGAGTGGTACCACGTGGGTGGCGCCAGCATACCACAGGACTTGTTTCCGTTGTTGTGAGACGATACATGCTCATTCTTGTTACGTGGTTGTCGTTCCGGCCTCAATGTGCAATACTGGCTCATTCGTCTACGAAATACACGTGAGTAGCTCTCTCTGGTTGGAGGTCCTGCTGGTTGTGGTTGTCCCGATGGTTGTCGCGATGATTGTCCCGATGGTTGTCCCGATTGTTGTTCCGATGGTTATCCCGATGGTTGTCCCGATGGTTGTCCCGATCGTTGTCCCGATGATTGTCCCGATGGTTGTCCCGATGGTTGTCCTGATGGTTGTGGGCCCCTCGGGCATGTCTGTGCGAATACGTTCTCCATACCAGGTCTCCAGATGGCCAGCGTTCTGCACTTTGACAAGCGTCTCTTTGGAAGAATACTGCAGTAGCCACGCCGTTGCGACCCTATCTGGCACATATAGTGGTGGATCCAACTGTCGGAGCGCCTCGCATAATTTGAAAGCTGTATTATACTCGATGCCCAGGTGGCGGATGGCAGAGCCGTGCTGTTCCTCCAGCTCCTTGGCGCTAGAAATACTGACCTTGCCAGGCACAACCCGATACTTGCCCCACCAAGTCTTGCACGCCTGGTGACTGGCCTGGATACCCTTTGCAACGAGCGCCTGATGCAAATGATACGGGCTGCCGCAGTCAGCCAAGGGAGGCCGCGACAGCTCTGGGCCATACTGGTCGTCAAGGGCTTTCGCCGACAAAGCCATGACCCATCCAAGAACACAGGCGATACCTTGATCCGAGATGGCTACGGATGTGACAGTGATCAGTGATTTTGTTCGATGACGTGGTGACGCACGGACTTGTTGTGGTAACATGCCGACGACGACGACGACGACGACGACGCGACGACGCGCGCATGTGTCCCGCATGGTATTTTTTGCAAGGGATTGTGGCCCCTGGCAGGCGCGCGAACGCCGTTGAAAGAGCGTGCGAAAGTAGCTCGCGCGAGCTCATGTAACATAAATGTTGAAAAGCCATTTGTTTTTAAGGATTCGGACAGCGCGCGCGGGTAGAAATTTGGAAAATCCGTGCACGTATTTGTCGAGGACCTACGGTGCGATTCGTGCGATTTTATGATACGCGGTGCTGAAATCCTTAAGAAACCCAATGGTGTTTGAAGATTCCGGCGTGCGCGCGCGAGGAAAAAACGAATGTGTCCCATATGGTATTATTTGACAGGGATGATGGCCCTGGCATGCGCGCAACCGTTGTTGCAGAAGTTCGAAGCACGTGAAAAAATTGCTCGCAAGAGCCCGTTTGACAGAAATGTTGAAAAAGTATTGGGTTTCCTAAGAAATCCGCAAGAGCGCGCGGGATGAATTTTTGAAACTTTTTTTTTGAAAAACCATTGGGTTTTTCATGTTTTTATGTTAAAATCGCTACGAAAACTAAGGTTTTGGAAGGATTTCATCTTGCGCGCGCGAGTGTGCACTTCGTGTCATTTTTTGCAAAAAGGATTCTTGAAGTTTGGCTATGTTAGAACAAGACATGTCATTTTATATTGTTTTTTGACAGGGAAAGCGGGCGTCAACAAAACAACCGGATCCGGACTCCCCCGTTTTGCCTGAGACTTCCTCACGAAAATGATGAAAACTAGGCGCGCTGCGGCCTAGGCGCGGCGGGGGGCGTGCACCAGGGGGCCCAACAATAATTATTCTTTAGAAGTAATAATATTCAACAACAACAACAACAACAACAACAACAACAACAATCATTTTACCCGAACGCTCAGTGTTCTCACCAGTGCCAGGGTTTTCATGCGACGCGAGACAATACCCCCACTTCGTGGGGGGGCAGTTCAAGCTCTACCAAATATCCAAACGACTCTTCGCGACCACCCAAACCCAGCTTCCCGCCCTATGACGTTGGGACACTTCACTTCGTGGCGTGCGGACGACCGTGGCTACTACACTGGCGTGGGGTACACACCCACAGAACTTGGTCACTTATTCGGGGCGCGCGTGTGCCCAGCATCCTGCAATTGTGACATACAATACATGACACAGACAGACAGAGAGAGAGACAGAGAGCAGACAGAGAGAGAGACAGAGAGAGCGGAGTTGGTCACATTTTTGGGGCAAGTTCCTGAGATCGTCGTGTTTTTTGTTGGTCTTGCGCGCGCGAATGTCCACTTTACTTTTTTTTGCAAGGGAGTATTGAAATTTGATTATGTTAGAACAAGAAAAAGTAGCTCGCGCGAGCTCATGTAACATAAATGTTGAAAAACCATTGGTTTTGTGGGAGTCGGACAGCGCGCGCGGGATGAAATTTGGACATTTTTTTTTGAAAAACCATTGGGTTTTTGATGTTTTTATGTTGAAATCGTTACGAAACCTAAGGTTCTGGAAGGATTTCGTCTTGCGCGCGCGAATGTCCACTTTACCTTGTTTTTTGCAAGGGATTATTGAAAGTTGATTATGTTAGAACAAGAAAAAGTAGCTCGCGCGAGCTCATGTAACATAAATGTTGAAAAACCATTGGTTTTGTGGGATTCGGACAGCGCGCGCGGAAGGACATTTTGACAATTTTTTCTTAAAAAACCATTGGGTTTTTGATGTTTTTATGTTAAAATCGTTACGAAACCTAAGGTTTTGGAAGGATTTCGTCTTGCGCGCACGAATGTCCACTTTACCTTATTTTTGGCAAGGGATTCTTGCAATTTGATCAAAGAAGAACAAGAATTTTCATTTTCTATTGTTTTTTGCAAGAGAAAACGAGCGTCAACAAAAAACCGGATCCGGACATAATCCACTTTTCTGAAGCTTTCGCGAAAAAATGATGAAAATGTAGCTGCGGCCTAGGCGCGGCGCAGAGGTCGCGCACCAGGGGTCCCAACAATAATAATTCTTTAGAAGGAATAATATTCAACAACAACATCAACAACAACAACAACAACAGCAGCAGCAGCAGCAGCAACAACAACAACAACAACAGCAACAGCAACAACAACAGCAGCAGCAGCAGCAACAACAACGACAACGACAACGACAACGACAACAGCACCAGCACCAACACCAGCACCAACAACAACAACAGCAGCACCACCAACAACAGTAACAAGACCAACAATCACAGCAATCGTATGAATGATGCCAACAACAACGACAGCAACAACACCAGCAACAACCACAGCAACAGCACGTCCGTGGCAGAGAATCGCCGTGGCCGGAGCAGCCCCTTCGTTCTCTGCCCATCGCTCCTGCTGTCAACGGTGGCACGATGGCTGCAGCCCCCGTCGTCTCGGCCGCCGTCGTCGCGGTCGACATCTGCGCGGCTCGCGGCCTGCGGCGCTCGGGCCCCCTCCTCTCTCGGGGGTGGACAGGCCTCCGCCGGGGCCCTGACGAAGGAACCCTTTTCGTTGGGGAGGGGCTCGGTGTTCCGATAGGGAGCCCTCTTCGTTGGGGAGGGGTCCGTTGGGGAGGGGTTCGTCGGGGCCCTGAGGAAGGAACCCTTTCCCGATAGGACATCGAAGCTCAACTTATGGAAAAAGAGGCCTCGTTCCTTATGTAGGGTTCCTTAGGTCAAGGCCCCGACTATGGCCCCCGACGCGTCGATTGGCGAATGGGGGCCGTGCTCGGCTCGCGAGAGGGCGCCGCGGCCGCCCTTCTCTTGCGGGTCCGGGCCCGTCGGGTTCGGCCCCTGGCCGTTCTCGCTACCGGGAGGCGTTTCGAAAGGGAGGCTTCTCTGCGGGACGGGAAAATGACCACAGCCACTGCTTCTTGTTCGCGCCGCCCTCCAGCCGGCCGAAAAAGAAGCAGTGGTTGTGGTCAGTTCCCTGGTGCCGAGCGTAACGAAGATGACCACAATCACTGCCTTGTTTCTGCTGTCTGGAAGGCGGCAACCAAAGAAAAGCAGTGGCTGTGGTCGTTTTCACACCCCGTATTCTCCACCCCCGGCCCTCGTGCCTGCCCTCTTCGCCGACGGCCGCACCCCGTGCGCGCCGCCAGGCGACGGCGCGGCGCCGCCGCCGGCCCAGCGCCCGAGGCTGTCGGCCGCGAGGGGCCCTGCAGGCGCAGAGCTGTTCTCGCGGGACCCCGCCGACCTGCTCTGCCTGGACCGGGCGACGTGGATCGCGTGGCCGCGGCACGCGGGCGCGCGCAGAAGGGGGGCAGGGGGCAGGGGGGAAGGCTTCTCAGAAGCTCGGGAGTGAACAGACCTCCCACCCTGACACGTCGATCAGCGAATCGGCCGTTGTCGGTTCGCGAGAGGGCGCCGCGGCCGTCATCTTTGCGGGTCCAGGTCCGTCGGATTCGGTCCCAGGCCGTCTTCACTAAAGGGTGGTTTACTAAAGGGAGGTTTGGCCACCGCCGAGAGGCACCCCTGCATCTTTAGAAGGCGCGGGCCTTATTCACAGATGTCAGGGTCGGCGCCTTCTGAGAAACCACCTCCTTCCAAGAGGCCTTGCCCCCTCCCCCTTATCCCCCCTCGCGCGCGCCGCCAAGGCACGCGGGCACGGGCCAGGACATGCCCAAGGATCGGCGATAACCAGACATGCCAGAGACCTCCTGTGAGATCGGGGCGCCGCACTTGCTTACGCTGGGCGTGCTCGCCTGGCTTCGGGCCCCAAGGCCAGCACAGGTCGATCCGTCTCGAGAAATGCCGCAGCCAGATGGGGTCTACGCAGGTCTCGTGCCGCGATTTCTCGCGAGGTGTATTTTGTCCCAGCGTCTGATCTCAGGGACTGCGCGCGCAGGCAGAAATAGTGGGACTTTGAGGGACCCAGGGGACATCCTCCTTCCACCCCCCTCCTCCATGGGGGAGGGTTGGTAATAACGACGACGACGATTACGAGGACGACGACGACGACGATTACGAAGACGACGACGACGACAACGACGAGGGACGAGGAGGATGAGGGAGGAGATTGTGGGAGGAGGAGGAGGAGGACGCAAAGATGAGCGACAACGAAAGTCGTTGCGGGGACCGGCGGGAGTGTTGAACAAAAACACAACACGTCGGATATCTAGGCAAAAAGGTGCCTTTTCACGGGACCAGGATTACATCATTGTGTGAGTGTTGGGCCTGGGCCAGAGGGGACGCGTGCAGGGGCGCTTTTCCAGCACTCACGAGGGCGCCCGAGAGTAGTTTTGTTTTTTTTGTTGGGGGGGCTCCCCCCCCCCTCCAAGATAGACAGCAGCACGCTGAAAGTCGTCTTTGGCAAAGGCCAACCCCAGACTCCGACAGTGTGAATTATTTCATCCGGGCGTTTTTCCCTCGATTTCGGCCTCTGGGACCCGCTATGGGAGACCCAGGGCGAAAAATTACCCCCGTGAAATGTGTCGGGACCTCTGGGGCCGCGCATTGCACATTGCACAGAAACGCATCGTCGGATTTCTGGGCTTACAGTCGAGGCCCTGAAGAAGGAACCCTTTTCGTTGGGGAGGGGCTCCGTGTTCCTTATGTTTCGATCGGAAATCGAAGTTTAACTTGTGGAAAAAAGGAGCCTCGTTCCTTATTTAGGGTTCCTTAGGTCAACGCCCCGACTGTACGTATGCCCAGAAGGACGTGCGGGAGGACGTGTGGACTCGGGGTGTCTTTCTCCTGCGGATCGTGTTCAAGAAGGAGAAGGACGTGTCCTACGACGCGAAGTGCCGCGCGCTGGAGGTGTTCTTCCGCATCACCCCGCCAGAGGACATCTCCGCCGTGTACCGCAACCCGGTGGAGGAGTTGCGAGAGATCTGGAAGCTCTATTTCTACATGGACGCGTTCGAGCGCTTGGGCGCGCCCCAGGACTTCAAGCGCTTCTACCAGTGCAGCAAGGATTCGCGGAACAGGCAACAAGCAACCGCATGAACCCAGACTTCAGGCGGTCCGCGCGGACGTTCTTGTGCATCGGCGTTGGGTCCCCCATCCCTGCCGCGCAGACTTCGCTGGGAGCGGCGCCAGAGGCGCCGCCAGGGGAGGCACACCGCCTATCTAAGAAGTCCACGCGGACATCCGAACGTTTACGCTTATGCCGTTCTTGCTTCTCCTGAGGACGGCATGGAGCGTTGCTGTCGAAAAGACATACAAAGCACACGGTGGAGAAAAAGCACACGGTGTGTGGTTTTCCACAGTGTGTGTTGTTGGTCAAACATGTGTGTGTGTGTGTTTGTGCGTGTGTGTGTGTGTGTGTGTGTGTGTTGTGTTGTGTTGTGTTGTGTTGTGTTGTGTTGTGTTGTGTTGTGTTGTGTTGTGTTGTGTCGTGTCGTGTCGTGTCGTGTCGTGTCGTGTTGTGTTGTGTGTGTTGTGTGTGCGTGTGTGTGTATGTGTGCGTGCGTATCTGTGTGTGTGTTTGTGTGTGTGCGCGTGTGCGTGCGCGTGTGCGTGCGTGCGTGCGTGCGTGCGTGCGTGCGTGCGTGCGTGCGTGCGTGCGTGCGTGCGTGTGTGTGTGTGTGTTTTGTGTGTGTGTGCGTGTGTGTGTGTGTGTGCGTGTGCGTGTGCGTGTGCGCGTGTGCGTATGTGCGCGTATGTGTGCGTGTGTGTGTGCGTGTGTGTGCGTATGTGTGCGTGTGTGTACGTGTGTGTGTGTGTGTATGTGTGTGCGTATGTGTGCGTGTGTGTGTGCGTGTGTGTACGTGTGTGTGCGTGTGTGTGCGTGTGTGTACGTGTGTGTGTGTGTGCGTGTGTGTTTTTCCACAGACGCTTCTCCTGAGGACGGCATGGCGCGTTCCCTGTGGCGGTCCCACCAGTCCGACCCCAGGATGGTGCAGGTGATCGCTGCCCTGTGCCTCGACTTCTCCGTGAGGGACGGCGGCTTCTGGGCCTCCGTCCTCGCTGGGCTGCACGCCCACTCGCTCCGAGAGTTCGCCCGGGACGTCACGGGCAACGTTCGGGCGGGGCGTACAGTGAGCGGCTTGAGTGAGGAACACTTACTTTTCAAGAGGGGCTCGGTCGCTCCTCAGGTTTGCATGCGTGGTTTACAGTTCCTTGTGCGTTACTTGTTATTTCTCGTTCCTTATGCGCTATTCCTTGGGATAAAAAAAGGGGCTTCGTTCCTTATGTATCGTTCCTTAGGTCACCGCCCCGACTGTACGTCTGGCTTCGAGGTGCTAGGCGCTCGGACGTCTCCGGCGGTCCTCGCCGGCCTTCTCCAGCCGCGGGGTGCTCTCCGGCGGCGGCGCCTCGCCGAGAGCGCCCCCGGGGGCGCCCGGATCGTCCCGAGGTGGCTGCCGGGAAGCCCGGGTGGGGGCCCGAAAGCCATCGGGGACGGGGACAGGCGCAGGGGGGCCCATGGCATCGACGCGGCGTCGCCCCAACATACCTGTACTATACGTGCGTCCCCCCCCCGCGGGGGCGACGCGCGCACCGAGGAATCTTATACAGTATGTGCGCCGTGGCGGGGGCTTTCGGGCCACACCGCTCGGGAGACGACAGGCCCCCCCTGGCCCACTCCTCGCCGGTGGAGGGGTCTGATGGCCCACCCCGCTCGGGGCCGTGCGGATTTGCCCTCGGGATCCGATCGCCGATCTATCGCCGATCCCAGCTCGACGCACCCCCCCCCCCCTGCGCTGCCCCCCCCCTCGCACATGATTGTCTCAATGGGCGGCCCCAGAGCCCCTGACCCACCCCCCGGGTGCAGTTCGTCGTCCAGCTGGGTCCGTCTTCGATCGCCCAGGGACCCAACGACGGGCCCCAGCGGCCGAAATCGAGGAAGAACCTTCAGAGTGAGCATCGAAAGTCAAACGCGCCGCCCGCCCTCCTCAGGACGTGCTGGTGGCTCTGCACGAGGGGCTGATCCTGGACATGCCGCACGAGGAGGCCTTCGGTGGCAACTCGTGGGAGCCTCGCGTGCCCTCGGGACTTTGCACCAGCGTGCGCCGGCGCCTGGCAATCGCTGATTCGGCGCCGATTCGGCGTCGATTGGCGTCGGTTGGCGTCGACTCGCCAGAGGCAAGCGCCAGCAACGCCCCGCTTGCTCGACCGTGCACAGATGCTCAGTGGGCCGGCAGGCGCCAGCCCCCGCGGCCAAAATTCTGCACCTCCGTGATCCGAGCCCTCGCAGCACGGCTTCGGTGCCCACGTCAGTCGGGGGCGTAAAAGAGGGGGGTGATGACGAAGGGGGGGGGGGATATCATGGCGGGGGCCATGATATTTCCCCAGATTTCATGGCGCCTCTTCTCATTTCATTACGTCCCTGGCCCCCCCGCTGGGCCGCGCACATGCCGCCGGTCATGACTTGCACCCCCCCTCTTGGACACCCCCCTCTTGGCCGCTCCCGAGTCAGCGGCATCGCAGATAAGTGGTCCAAGGACGCACGGGAGAATCCCACGAGTGGCCACGTACAGTGGGGGCCCACGCCAAGAAACGCCTTGCTTGCCTCCAGGGTGCCCTGGGTTTCTGGGCTCTCGATGGTTCTGGGATGGAGAGCGTGACGCTCCCACACCAAAAGCCAAGGGACGTCCTGGGGTCTCAAGGTTGGGTTTCTTGTCGAAGGTTTTTTTTGGACTGGCCTCCGCTGTAAAGAGGCCCTGGTGGCCGCCGTCTGCGCCCTGGTCGATGCCCCCCTCGCCGCGCTCGAGGCCTGGGCGGCCGCCGGCGCGCCCGCCACGCCGCCGCAGACTGGCGGCATCCTGCCCCTGCTGCCGCACATCTTGAGGCCAAGGGGAGGACAAGGGACCAGGCTTCGTAGTCTCGGAGAAGGGAATTCGGCATAACCATGAACTTTTGGCGCTTAGCGCGGATTTCTTGGATCTGCGCTGGGCCACCTTTTGCGGCGCCTCCGGCGCCGCCCCTGGCGTCTCTTGGATCCGCGCTCAGCGCGGATCCAAGAAATCCGCGCGGACCTGCCAGAGTTTATGTTTATGTCGTCTTTTCTTCCTCTACAGTCATTATCGGGCGGGGCTTGGACGAAGATGAATCCGTGCCAAAGCGTTCCGGAACGCTCTGAGAAAGCCGCGTCGAAACGACACGAACCTACCGTGCGCGAAGCGTCAACAAGTCCTCAAGCGGTGTCGGCGATGCAACGGCGAGGCATCGGCGATGCAACTGCGACGTCGGCGGTACATCGTCGTCGCCAGCGCGGAGAAAATCGGGCCCCACATCGAGCCACACCTCCGATGCATCGGCGATGCGGCGCGATGCTCTGGCCCCATCTACTCGGACCCCGGTTCGGAGGCCCAGAGTGTCTGTACAGGACAGTAGATGGACACTTCATGAGTAGGATGTTTCATGCTCGCCCTCCTCAGGATCTGCCTTCAGGACTCGCCGTGCAGGCGAAAACCCGCATGACATGCAGGCGCACGCTACTACAGAGATGCCCGCATCAGATGGTGCAAGACGAAGCCAGGACAAGGATCACATCGGGCGTTCTAGGTTGAACACTGCTGGTGGCCCAGACTCGACCAACGATCTTGCGATCAACAAGCTCTCGATCGTTCAAGGTTGAATGATCCACGCAGTTGTTTTAATCAACTGTACCCGCACTCTAGGCCTCTCAGATGCGGCCGGAGCAGATTGGGTCGGAGGATAGCGCCGCATCGCCAATGCATTGCCGATGCGTTTCGATGTGGAGCCCGATGTTCTCCATTCCGATGGCGCCAATGCATGTGCGGCGTCGCCGGTGCATCGGCGATGCATCGGCGATGCGGCGCGATCCTCCGACCCCATTTACGCTGACCCCGTTTAGGAGGCCTCTGAAGTCGGCGACTACAATGGGTGTGTTTACGCCGTGGTGTTGTCTGCGATCGCCCCGCCAGGCGCGAGTTGCAAACCACACTCGCCGGAGTTGCCGAAAAAGGTATCGACGCCGCCTGAGGAATCGTTGTCTCTTCGCGTATCCCCACCAGCCTCTCTTGTTGTCTCTCTGTTTCTTTTTCTCCCGTGTGCAATTTAGGCCCCTGCCAGTTAGCTGTAGCTTTGGACGGCGAGCGGCCCTTTCCGCTTGCGCTCGCGAACACAAAAAGTACCCCCACCAGCCCATTCGGAAACGGGGCCCAGTAGACAACCGTCCAACGGATTTGGCTGAGCGTGCGGATTCGGTGGAGTTCGGTTGAACGTGCATTCGGTGGCGGAACGTGCGGGTTCGGCATCGTTCGGGAACCTGCCGCCCATCCGGCGAGGCGTCGCCGATTCCAGCCAGGTCGAGGCGTCCCCCCCCCGAGCTGCCGGTACCGCCACCCGTCCCCCAGGTTCGCTTTCCTTGGGCCCCTCGGGGGAGGACCTCCTCGCCCTCATCCTCCCCCTCCTCCTCCTCCTCCTCCTCCTCCTCCTCCTCCTCATCATCATCATCATCATCCTCTTCCTCCTCCTCCTCCTCCTCCTCCTCCTCCTCCTCCTCCTCCTCCTCCTCCTCCTCCCCCTCCTCCTCGAAGAGGGACCTAATCCCAGGCTCAGAGGGGGGAAACATCGACTCGGCATCGGCGATACATCGCTGTTTCATCGGAGGCGCAGCCTCGGGGCCAACGACCGGGAGATGTATTATTCCCTGCTCGGGGTCTTCGGGCGTCCTCGTGGGTTCGCGGCGGCTTGTTCCAGCCTCCAGGGTGGTTCCCAGCAGTCGCGAGAGGCGTCTGGGGGAGCCCAGGTATGGCCCGAAGCATGTCGACGTCGCCGCCTCTCCTTGCTTTTTCACCTTTTGGGGGGCCTCCAGTGTGGCCCGCGTCGCCGCCGCCGGCTTCGCGTCGAGGCTCTGGCCAGGACGCACCCCAGGAGAGGTCCCGGGAGAAGCGGCACCGGCCTGTCCAGACTCAGGGGAAAAAAACGCAGACACAATGAATCGTCGATTCCCCAGAAAAAATGGGAAAATATGGGAAGCGTGGGGGAAGACAAACACCCAGAAACATGAGTAAATGTGGGGAATCATGTTACGTGTGTCTGTTTATTTGTGTGTCCCAGGGCCCCTTCACAGACCTCCGACGCTTCAGTGCTTCATAACGTCGATGTGATCGTTTTCTTATCCATTGTTTTTCTGATCGGCGCTGACCCTCGCGCCCCCTCCCCCTCCCATGGAGTAGATCTTGGCTGTTTTTGGCGCCTGTTTCAAGCAGGTGGAGTAAGCACGGGGGCCCCGCCTCCCCATAGGATTCCCCATGGGAGCGCTGTTGCAAACCGTCGCGCTAGGCAGAGGTCCGGAGCCAGACCCCCCCCCTCCCCCCCCCCTGTCCGCCCAATGTCGAAACGCCGAATAAGAGCACGTTCACCATAACGTTGATCCCAGAGGTATGAGCCCTTTCCCCGGAACGGCTTTTCGTGCCGCGTGGTCTCTTGTGAGGCTCCCGGGGCCTCCAGAGGCCGAAAACTGCGGAAAACCTACGGGCTGCATTTTGCAGCATTTCTCGGAAGCTTGGGGTGAAAATGTGGATCTTCGGCTGTGCACAGCTGATCCCCTGCTGCGTTGATCTTCGGCCGTCCGCTCCCCCTCCCTCCTCCGTTTCCTCCTTTCCCTCTGGAGGTCTGGGGGGGGATTTCTTGGTCGAGGCCTCCCAGATGAAGTTGGAGTAGATGGGCTCGATGTGGAGCCCGTCCTTCTCCACGCCGGCGTCGCCGACACACCGCCGACATCGCCGATGCATCGCCGTTGCATCGGCGATGCCTCGGCGACGCTGCTCGATCTTCCGGCCCCATCTGACCTCCGACTGCATGTGGGAGGCCTCGTCAATGCACCGAGGCCTAGCTCTTGCTGCCCGCGTGGCCATCGCCCCCCCCCCCCGCTGCGACAGCGGCAGGAGGCGCTGCCGGAGGCCTCCGCCCGTCGGCAAGTCGTAGGGCGAGGGCCGCGCGGAGCCCCTCTGAGGCCCTTCTGTGGACAGGCCAGGGCGCCACGCTGCGCCTTCCCCCCAGGCTCACGTCGGGCCTGTCTCCCTACAGGAGGAATGTTCTTCTTATGTAGTGCCACTTATGTAGTTGTATTGCCACCCGTGTTCTGTTGCTCCCTGCTTTCAAAGGGGTCCAGGGGGCATGATGTGCTCGGTATGGTGCAACAAAGAGGTTGCATTTGGGACGCGTCTTTTTCCTCATCTGTGGTGTCATTTGCTCTGGGGGGAACCAAAAAAAACCCTACAGGAGGAAGGTTCTTCAGAATGTTCAGAAATAGTCAACAAATAGTCTGGGGACGATTTTTGTTATGTTCTCCTCACGTTTGTCCATTGTTGTGCATATGTTTGGACTCTTTTTATTTTTTCCTCCAAGATCTGCCTGTAAGGGGACATGCCCGACCTAATCCCAGGCTGGGGGGGGGGGGATCTTGCTAGGCCTCCCCGAAGATAGGGGAACGACGGATGACATAAGCACCGCGCGGATTTCTCGGAACGGCGCCGGACCCCGCGCCAGGGGCGGCGCCGTCGGGGGGGTCCAGCGCGGATCCGGGAAACCCGCGCGGACCTCCGCGTTGTCATGTTTCTGTGGCAGCCTTCGCTCCCCGACGGAAGAGGCCCCGCGCGGATCCGAGAAACCCGCGCGCACCTCCGCGTTGTTGTGCCTACTGTTGTGGAGGACGATCAATAGAGAGGAAGCCTATTGCCAAATAATTTCCGGATGTCTAAAGCATGTGTGAAACATGTTTTCTAAACATCTAAAACACTTGCTTGAACATGTTTCCGACATTTTAAGCACATGTTTAATTCAATGATAGGACTGTCAGGGTTTTCATTATCGTGGCATCCACAAGCCTATGGCAGCCTCCACCCCACGAGGCGCAAGACCTGGAGACAAGGGCCGCTTTGGGTTCGGAAGGGGCTCGCTGCTCCTTGAGCTCTTCGACGACAGTTCCCTGATCACTCCTCAAGGGTAACAAAAAACATTGGCTAAAAAGGTGCTTCTGGTGCCAGAAAAGGGGCTTCGTTCCTCTTTTGGCGTTCTTACTGGTAGCACCTCGGAGGAGGAGGAGGAGGAGGAGGGGGAGGAGAGGGGGAGGAGGATCGGAGGAGGAGGAGGAGGGGGAGGAGGGGGGAGGGGGAGGGGAGGGGGAGGGGGAGGGGGAGGGAGGGAGGGGGAGGGGGAGGAGGGGAGGGGGAGGGGGGAGGAGGGAGGAGGAGGAGGAGGGAGGAGGAGGAGGAGGAGGGAGGAGGAGGGAGGGAGGGGAGGAGGAGGAGCCTTCGCCCCGCCCACGAGGCGCAGCCCCTTCGCCGCCGACCTGCAGCCCGCCGCGCTCGCCTCGCGCCTGCTGCGCCTCGCCCGCGCGCCGGGGCTCGCGCCGGGGGCCCTCGGCGCCTCGCGGCCGCCGCGCTGGGCGAGCTTTGGCATCGCTCCGACGTGTGCCTTTTTCCTGCGGCGAGGGCAATCGAGGAGCACCTCTCCTCCTCCTCCTCCTCCTCCTCCTCCTCCTCCTCCTCCTCCTCCTCCTCCTCCTCCTCCTCCCTCCTCCTCCCTCCTCCTCCTCCCTCCTCCTCCTCCTCCTCCTCCCCTCCTCCTCCTCCTCCCTCCTCCTCCTCCTCCTCCTCCTCCTCCTCCTCCTCCTCCTCCTCCTCCTCCTCCTCCTCCTCCTCTCCTCCTCCTCCTCCTCCTCCTCCCTCCCTCCTCCTCCTTCCTCCTCCCTCCCTTGATCATTGATCATTTGGCGAAAAAGCCACGCATGAAACCGGAAAAAAACACAGGGAAGTGACGTCCGAGCGATGGCGAGCGAGGCGCCGGGGGCCGCCGCCGCGGCCCGCGGGGAGGCCGCGGGCGGCTGCGAGGAGGCCACAGCCCGACGCGTGGGCGTCGCGGGCGCACAGCACGAGGGGCGCAGGGCTCGTTTTTCGATGCCTCCTCCTCCTCCTCCTCCTCCTCCTCCTCCTCCTCCTCCTCTCCTCCTCCTCAATCCTCCTCCTCTCCTCCTCCTCGTCCTCCTCTCCTCCTCCTCCCTCCTCCTCTCCTCCTCCTCCTCCTCCTCCTCCTCCTCCTCCCCTCCTCCTCCTCCTCCTCCTCCTCTCCTCCTCCTCCTCCTCCTCCCCTCCTCCTCCTCCTCCTCCTCCTCCCATCCCCCCTCCTCCCTCCCTCCCTCCCTCCCTCCCTCCATCCCTCCTCCTCCTCTCCCTCCCCTCCCTCCCTCCTCCTCCTCCTCCCCTCCTCCTCCCTCCTCCTCTCCTCCTCCTCCTCCTCCCTCCCTCCCTCCCTCCCTCCCCCTCCCCCCTCCCTCCCTCCCTCCCTCCCTCCCTCCTCCTCCTCCCTCCCTCCCTCCTCCCTCCTCCTCCTCCTCCTCCTCCTCCTCCCCTCCTCCTCCTCCTCCTCCTCCACCTCCTCCTCCTCCTCCTCCCCCCCCTCCCTCCCTCCCTCCCTCCCTCCCTCCCTCCTCCCTCCCTCCTCCCTCCCTCCCTCCCTCCCTCCCTCCCCTCCCGCCCTCCCTCCCTCCCTCCCTCCCTCCCTCCCTCCCTCCCCTCCTCCTCCTCCTCCTCCTCCTCCTCCTCCTCCTCCTCCTCCTCCT